CTTCTTTATTTTAATTGCATGGTATAAATGTTAGGATTTTGTGACTCAGTTGATTAAATGTTCAATGTTCTTTCATCTTTCATTGTTCGTCTCTTAGAGTTAATTCTGTCACTAGCCATTAAAATTGGATTTTGAAGTATATCATGAAATTGAATCATTGTTGGTTTGTTTTAAGAGTCCAGATGTTCATATTTTCAGTGTTATTTACTGTTTGATTGGTTTCATTCATACCTGCCCGCCTTAATTTGTTTGTTAGGATTTGCAACTATTAAACACTCCTAGGGTCTTAATTGAATAAATAAAAACTTGAGGGGTCTGTTTGGGTGATTGGGTAAGTGTAATAGGATAAGAATCAGCTGGAAGTTTCTAGTTTGAGGGGCAGCTGTCCTCATTTGGTTAGCTGAAGTGCTGAGATCAATGAGAAAAAGACAGCTGTCCATTTTCTGTTAAGAAAAGATGCCCTGTGAGGGTATTTTGGAAAAATCCCATTACCTTGCCTTGAAGGCACACAACAGACTTCTGCCTTATAAATAAGGCCTTTCCCTCATTTAGCACACACAGACTCACACCCTAAAAACCCTGAAAAACTTCTCTGCAATCCAGTTTGTAGAATCCCTGAACTTTGCTCATTTTCTTTCTTTCATTAGAGTTTTTGGTTTGAAAGGTTTCTATTCTGGAATTCCTGGGTTTGTTTTGGTCTGCAAAAGCTGAAACATGGTTTGAATTAGAAGTTTGGTTGATTTCCTTTGCTGCTGGTCTATTGTTGTTGCCTTCACCTTAACTTCAAGCTTATTTTCTCTATTATTCTTGCTGTAATCAGGTACCATCGCTGACTGGAGTGATGCAAAATTTGGTGCTTATCTAATGAAGATTGCTTGAGTTCATTTTTGTTCGAATATGTTTACAGTTTTCTAGTAGTGTAGCTATTCACTCTGTTGTAATAATGAAAATAGATTGTTTATTTTGGGTATATTCATATGCTAATAGGTTGGAGTATTCAGATTCATGCTTGAATATCTTTCAATGTGTTATAGTGTAATTTAATTGAAATGATTGTCCAAAATTATGATTTAGATTCTAAGTTTTGGGGCTATGTTTCCTGTCATGAGCTCCACTGGATTTGTTAAGCATCAGCATAGGGAATGGGTGTTTGTCATTGTTCAGTTATTTCAAGTATGGATGTATGTGGGATTTTTTTTTTTGGAATAGGCTATAGGGTGTATTCTACTTTGTTTAAACCGTGTTGGTTGTTCACATTTCGTTGGTCCTTTGGTTATACTTTCCTTTAAATGCTAGCTTCTCATCATGCTGTTTATTCCTTTAGTTTTGCTAAAAACAGTAGTTTAGTGGAAAAGTCTATTTTCTATTTAATTGTGTCAAGTGGTCGATTTGCATAATGGGAACTCTTTCCCAGTGTTGAGGTTCGAACTTGGGTCTGCTACTAGACCCTTTGGAACGCCAAGAGGGTCGTTCACTTTGGCCCAGCAGGAAGTTTGATGTTGAGCCCAGCTCTCGCTGGCCACCCCTTTTAAAGAAAGGCTTTAAGATAGTGTTGGGCCTGCTGCCAGCCCAATGCCTTTCTGCGTGCGTAGCAATTTAGTGATAATGTCGTTTATTCAATGCTGTTGCTTTAAATTGGGAGTTTTCAGCTTGGGTGTCGTTTGGGCTAAGCCGGAGCCTCATTGATTTGTTTTTCTAGTTAGCACATGTTTTCTTTTGACTGAGGTGTGCCATTTTTAACTATATCACCCATGGCCCTCATGAGACTAAACAAAAAAAATTTATATGAGGAAATAGATTTGAGGCGTGCCATAAGCAAATTAAATTTTCCATGGCCCTCGCAAACCTTGTTATTAACTTGAAAGCGCGTAGCTGCTTTAGGCGCGCTATTTTAAAATTAATTTCCTAAACTCGGGTGTGCATTTCATGTGACCCAACTCCAATTCTCAACAACGATAAATAAAATGTGTCGTGGACCGCGGGTGCATTTCATGTGGCGTGGTTCAAGATGTGTTTTAGATAACGTTGAAACTTCCTAAAATTAATTAAAAGCGGCTAATAAGTTAAAACATACCATAGGCTAAAACGTATTTTAAAATCAGATAATAGGCCAATTATAATATGTGAGCGACCGTGCTAGAACCACGAAACCCGGAAATGCCTAACACCTTCTCCCGGGTTAACAGAATTCCTTACCCAGATTTCTGTGTTCGCTGATTATAAAACAGAGTCAATCTTTCCTCGATTCGGGATTTGAAACCGGTGACTTGAGACACCATAAATTATCCCAAGTGGCGACTCTGATTTTAATAAATAATCCCGTTTTGATTGTCACTTAAATTGGAAAAACTCCCTTATACCCTTCCGGGGTGGTAAAAAGGAGGTGTGACAATAAATATGCAAAGAGAATAGAGAATTTGCTTATCTTAAATAGTCAGTGAAAATTGCATACTTGAAGAGGGGGGGGGGGGGTTGAAACAATACTTGAGGTAGTGAGTATCGATGTAAGAGGTTCTGTTCTAAAAAAGAATATTTTAAGGATAAAATAGTAAAAATCTTGGTCAAATTTAAAGTGCTTATAAGCTAAAAATTCATAAGCTGTGAGTGACTAGCTTATGACTATTAGCTTATTTTTGACTTATAAGCACTTGGCTTATAAACACTTTTAACTTTACCAAACACATAGATAAGCCAAAAAGTGCTTATAAGCTAGTTTGACTAGCTTATAAGCTTAGCCAAACACCCTCATACTCTATTCCAGACGTTTCGGTTTCTGTTATCTTGATGGTGTTATTGTCCGGTGCTATTGCTTTTTCATCTTTCCTTGAGCCTATGATTTATCTGAAACAGTCTCTTTTTATCTTCTTAAGGTACGGGTAAAATCTGCATATATACTACTATCCACATACTCCACTTGTAGGATTATACTAGATTTATTGTTGTTGTTATTGTATACTCTATTGCACATCATTTTCGCATTGTATATGCACACTTGTGATTTGTGAAAGATTCAAAGAAGCAACTTGACAATTTAGAAATTTCGCGTGTAAATATCAAGTGCAGATAATTTTTTATCGTCACATGTCTCTCTATCCAGTGCCAGTTGAAAATGCTACGAAGCATTAAAACAACTTATACTTAGCTAAATACAATCGTATCTTGGACAATCGTACATACCTGCACTAAGATTGTATAATGACGACTAAAAAATCAAAGGTACCATTGCGTTCTGAATTACAAAGTACTTTCATGTTTTTTTATGAGGGGTCAACCCAAGTCATTTTGAATATAATGTATACGATTTTAAAGATAATGTCCTGGACAGAATTATCTGCACGGATTGACAGCTCCATCCTTGTACAAATTTCAAAGGACTCGAAAATGTTTAAGTTGTCCACTATTCTTTTTCTTTTTAGAAAATATTACTACGTAATTCTTAAACAAATTTTCAATTTCAATTTTTTTTTTTTAAAAAAAGTACCATATGCAGAAATTGATTAGGATGTGGACGCCTCGATGAAGAACAGTACCACAATCGTTTACATCTGTTGAGGAAAACCATAGGAAACTGGTTCAAGTCCTTTTTTCCAAATTTGCTGTGATAATTTCCATGAAAATTTTGCTCTTTGAAGCTACCAAACACGGTTTCATTGTTTTTTAAATTCTTTCGAAATGAAAATGACAAAAGATGAAAATTGAGACCAAACGTTACTAGAAATAAAAGGTTGGGTTTGAATATTGACTGGCATATAATCTAAACTAAGAGGTGGAGAAAAGATTAGCTTGTTTGGATGGTTGTTACCTATTCTGTTGTATCGTATTGTTATTCTAAATACGATGTTTGTTTTGGTTGTTACTTAAATTTTATTGTATCGTATTGTTAAATCCGTCGTTACGTAACGACGAAATGTGCCACTTTATGTAACAACCGATTGGGTGTGGTTGCGTCGTTATCTCGTCTTTTTCTCTCATCTCACCCTTCATATTATTAAATAATTTTATTTTATCAATTTACCCTACCTTTTTATATAATAAATTTATCCCGTATCATAATTTTTCTTTATAGTAGTATTGCAAGTTTATTCTTCATATTGCTAGTGCCTGATCATGAAACAACAACAAAAGATACAATCTATCCAAATATTGTATTCAACAAACGATATAGTACAATACAATATAATACAGTACAATACATTATGACTTTACATTTTCACAATCATACAGGAATACTTATTAGGCGATCACATGTAAATCTCTTAATAATCATTAATTGATTATATGATAAAAATGATAGTCTAAATAAGAAGTGAAAGAAAAAAGAATAGAAAGAATTAAATGGGATAGAAACTATTTAAAAAAGTGGGATAATATAATGGTCCCCTCAGTATTTAGTATCTGCAAATAGCTTCCCTTTCAGTATTTTGACTATTTAGTGATAAGGAAAATTCTTTACAAGTTTAGCCACAAAATTACTTAATTGTTGGAACTCGTACTGTTGTCAAACTCAAATCACTTACAACTGTTTTTTAATTTATAAAACTTTGTTAACGTGACAATACTATAGTTTGAACATTCCTTTTAGTTTTTTCTCATTCTTGCTTGTAACATTTCTATTGTATTTAATATTTGGGTTTAACTTATAAACATACTAGCCGTGTAAGGAATTTTTATACTTTGTGTATTTTAATTTTTATAACAGGCAATTTGCGTACCTTTTAGAAATGATTATCTGTAATTATCCTTTCTGTAATATAATAATGTTAAAATTCTTTTACACTGTCAATATAAAGGAAATGAAAATCTTAATCTTCTTGTTTACATGATAAAACACTTCTATATAGAGACAGTATATATATGTTTCTTCTTCTTTCCTTTTCCTTGTTGCTTCATGAAGGAATGAAGCGAAGGAATTATGACAATGGAGATATATTGAAACTACTTATATGGATCAATACAAGTATTAATTGTTACAAAGAAACTGCATAAATAACACATAAATGGAAAGTTCTCAACTTCTCTATGCAAAACACTATATATATAAATATAGCTGCACAATAATAATATGAAACTAATTCCCTCTCTTTTAAGTTGTTCCCTCATCATAAAAATCTCCCTTAATTCCCTTGGAACAATATTATATATATATATATATAGTAAAATTTTTAATAGAAAAATAAAATGTTTAATACATAGTTTACCCCTGAGTTTGTAGCTAAATCCCTGTTTCACACCCCACCTTTACGGGAACCTTTTACAAGCCAAACAGCCACATCACAAATGCCAATTACATGTCTCTATGAATCCCAACTTGTATGAAGATTAGGGTTCATCACAAATTGAGTATTGCATGATGATGGTGAAGATTTGGATGATGATGGTGATGATGATGATGATGATGGGAAAGATGACATGTGCATGCATTCTATTTGTTCCATTTCATGTACTCCATTCATGCCATAATGTGGATGGATATAACCATTTGGGAAAGTACATGGGAGACTATTAACCACCATCGACTCAATCTGTTGTGAAGCAGCAGGAGGTATTGATTCCACAATGCCACCATTCCCCTTTATCTTTTCAGAAAGCTTGGGAAGCAATGGTACCTGCTGAAGACATAATTAAATAAATAAAAATATATTTCTTATAATAGTTTAACCTTTTAAAAAGATGAGACGAACACCGAGGTTGTTTGGTTCATGTTAGTGGACGTGTGGAAGACATAATTTAGTAGTATATAAAAATGTATACTCTGTAACAACTTAGGGCTCGTTTGGTACGAGAAATAAACAGAGGCGGACCCAGAATTCGAGAGTTGTGGTGCACTTTTTGATTCAACCAAAATCTGCATTGTATGTACGGTGCCCACTATTAATATATCACTGTTTTTTAAAGATATATTTATGTATGCATGGAATTTTTGCCGAACTTTACGGGTACCAGTGACCCCTCTACCTATTGCATAGGTCTACCTCTGGGGATAAAAAATAAATAGTCCCGAGATTAAATTTGAGATGAGTTTATCCCACGTTTGGTTGGGATAAAATCGTGGTAGAACTAATCCCGGGATTGTAGTATTTTTTCTCCCTATAGGAGAGTGGGACAACAAATCCCGAGATAATTATTTATGGGATAACTTGTTTCCCAACCAAACGACCCTCTAAGCTTTTATTTAGATAAGATGATTACACAATTGACAGTACATACCATCAATAAATCTTGGTGAGTTTTGATAGCTGCATTTCTTGAATCCATGAAATTCTCCCCATTAGTGTAGTTGAAAGAAATGTTAGAAGTAAGCATGGAATCGGAGTTGTCTTGTTTAAGAACATTTTGGTTATAATTATCAAGATCATGTTGAGGATGAGGATAGTTGAAATTAAACCAAGTAGGATCATTTGAAATTGAGTCAAATGACAAAGGATTAATAAGGGAAGGTACCACTGGATTTAAATTTAAATCCCCATTTAACTGATTATTATTCATTTGGTGGTCAACTTGTAGAATTAATGGAGAATTTGTGCTAATTGGCATCAAATTAATAGGAGTGGAGTTGAGTGGGTAAAAATTCTCAAAAGAGGGATTAGGGTTTGTAGTAGTGAGACTATTAGGAAAAATCATGGAAAAATCAGAGAGAGTTCCATGAGAAAGGAGCTTTTTCTTGATGCTAGAATTCCAAAAGTTCTTGACTTCATTGTCTGTTCTTCCAGGTAAATGCTTAGCTATTTGAGCCCACCTGTAATGACAAAATGTCACTTTGCATGAAGCTGTAAAATGACAAATATTATTCATCATCATCTAATTATCTAATAAAAATGAATTCTTCTTATTCGTCACAGTTTCAAGTCGTGAAATCAGCCAGTAATAATTATGTTAAAGCAGGCTGTCTATATTATACCTTTAGAGCGCGGCCCTTCTTTGAACTCTGTATGAAACCGTAAACACAGAATACTTTGTCCCGTTTTTTAGTCAAAGATGATATGGTGATGAGGATGAAGAAGAAGATATTTACCTGTTGCCAAGAATACTGTGAAGTTCAATGATAAGTGCAGCTTCTTGATGTGAGAAACTCCCACGTTTCAAATCTGGTCTGAGATAATTTATCCATCTCAACCTGCAGCTTTTTCCACATCTTTGTAGCCCTGTACCGTATAAAAATATATAAAGTCATCTTTCAGACAAGAATTTAACTAAAGAAATCTTTTGGTGTTTGTTCAAAAGGTGCATGTACACGAAGTCATGAACTATGCAACAAATCTTAGATGTATATAGCGAAACACATATGACAAATCAGCAGAGGCGAATTCAAAATTTAAACTTAATGACCTTCAAAATCTAAAATCATGACCAATCATGGGTTTATTTACTGTTTCACGACGAAAGTACTGAATCAAACCCATTGTACAAAGGCTGCATCCGCCTTTGTGAACAAACACAAACAAGAAGATTAGCAAAGTAGATTTATTTTCTCTATATACCCAAAAAAAACCCAAAGATGGAGAATGAAGAGGGGTTTTTTGTTTTTGTTTATGTGGTTCGAATAAAGAGCAGAAAAGAACAAACCAGCAAGCTTAGGAACAGAGCTCCAACAACCATGGCCATAAGTAGTAATGTACTTAATGAGTTTCTCATCTTCCTCAGGAGACCATAGCCCTCTCTTCACTTTTTGTTTGTTGCAGCATGTATGATGCCCCATCTCTCTCTTTTTGTATATATCCCTCTCTCTGCTAAATGCAGATATAAAACCAGAGAGTACTGTAACAGTAACAGATTCCACAAAGAAACAACAACCCAAAGAAAGCAGCTGGCACCCTCTACCTATATATAATCACCACAAAAAAAAAAAAAAAAAATTTAATGATCAATCAAGAAAATGGGCTTGCTGTTGATGAAGTTATATTAATTCAAAGGAAATTAAAGCCATGAGTGTGGGAGCTAGAGAGGGTCCCTCTTAAAAAAGAAATAGTACTCCATTAGGGTTTGTGGTAAAGAGAAATGATATGTGGTTCTATGTCTTATAATAGTAGCTGAACACTCAAGAGTACAGATTGAGAAAGATGACTTTAATTTCAATTTGTTTTAGTCCGATATACGAGGATTGAATATGAATTGACAAGTTTTATACTGATTGTCAGGTCAGGTTACTGTAATCCTACTTCTGAGCTTGAAACGGACAATGTGAGCAAGCTCATATAGGCGGAGTCTCCGATAATTCTATATACGAACATCATTAATTATTACTTAATTACTAATATTTGTTTTCGTTTTGCTTCCCATAGTCCTATATACTAGGATTGATCATAAATTGACAAGTTTTATACTGATTGTCAAATTACTGTAATTTTTACTTCTGAGCTTGAAACGGACAATGTGAGCAAACTCATACAGGCGGAGTTTCCGATAATTCTATACACGAACATCATTAATTAGTACTTAATTACTACTATTTGTTTTCGCTTTGCTTCCCATAGTCCTATATACGAGGATTGATCATATTTTGACAAATTTTATACTGATTGCGATTAGATTACTGTAATCCTACTTTTGAGCTTGAAATGGACAATGCGAGCAAGCTCATATATATAGGCGGAGTTTCCTATAATTCCATATACGAACATCATTAATTTGTACTTACTACTATTTGTGTATATACTAATTTTGTATATACGAATTATGTTATATATGTATAGGGGTTGGCCAAGAACCACGAGTCAGCCATGCAGAAATTGTAGGGGCCTACATGCCATTTACAATGTCCCTACTTGGGATTTATCGTCCCAGAGAGCAATTGACAGGTTGCTTTTTACATACAAAAAATTGGGTCCTCTTAACATCTTTGGATCTCTTCTCCTATCAGTCCGTTGCTACAGCGGGAGCCACTCAATACCATATTTGTCTTTACTATACTCTAATTTTTATAACTCTAATTTAGACAAATATATAGTCTACGAGCTAGCTATGTAGTTTTATACTTACTGTGACACCCGTAACGGGGTGACCCGATTGATACGCGCGTTTTTAAGCTCGATGTAACATAGTTCAAAATAGTGTTTTAAAAGGTGTGAGCGTAACGCGAGGCATTTTATATATGCCTCAGAGAGACGTAATCCCCGAGGCACGGGGGCATAACACTGCTAGAAATCCGGGTAATATCGTCCAAAAAAAAATCGACCAAAGTTGGTCGGTAATGGCCAATAACCGTTCAAACCGCGACCATTTACGTGTGGACGGTATTTTGAAGGTCGACCGTGGTTGATTTTTGCCGAATTTTTAGTAGTATAAGCCCCATGGGTATATATTTAATTTTTACTATTTTGTAAAATAATATAATTATACTAAATATTTATAAATAGGTAAAATTGCATAAAAATTAAAGAAATAAATATGTAAAATATATATATGCTCCATCCTCAAAAAAACTAGTTAAAACAATCCATTATTCGCTACTTACAAGCACAAGTAACTTGAGTCGAAAAAAATAACGTTTTCTACATGGAGGAACAAAAAGGATGACTAACCTGCTATTTGAACTTTGAACTTGCTTCTACGAAGGAGAAGGGGAGTTTTCTTTGATTCGTAAAAAAAAAAAAATTGACTATACGTTGCTTTTGGGAAATATTAGCAGACTAGCGGACAAGATAAAGAATTGAAAAATAGCATAAATTAGGGCTTCAATCAATAAAAAAGGTCTTGACTTTTAAATTTAATACATTTCAGTTCCTTTTTAAAACTTTTGAGTAATTACAAGCTGCCTTTTGAGAATTTGGGTATTATATTAAGGACTTATTCAGAAAAATCTTTGAGGCTTACGCCTCACAACAAAAACGCGCCTCAAACGCCTGGGCGTACGCCTCTTAAGACTTCCGCTCCACACGATCGCTTTGGGGCATTTTTGGTATGCCTCACCCGAAAAATACCTTTTAAATTCAAAAGACAAATGTAGGAGGTCATTTGGTCAAAGCGAACAATACGTTTATGAATTTGAGCCGATAAATGTGGTATCAAAGATTCTCGTGGAAGTTCAAAATTGAATAAATCTAAAATAATTTAACTATATAGTGAGTTGTGAACTTTTTTAATATAAAACTTTATTTTAAACAAAAACTAATAATCAATCTCTGAATTCAAAATTATCTAAAGACAATTATTAATATTAAAAGTCGTCGTTCTAATTAAAATCCAGGCTCAGTCTTTGAATATAGTAGTACTTAAATTGTATTCAATGGATCGAGGATCACTAGACACACTCTTATGAAGAGAGCATGAAAATGTTTTAATACTAAAAACTCTGTCGCGTATTATCTAACAATATAATGTGTTTCTAATTAATTTTTGGCTCAAGATCATTGGAAGTGCCATGATATATTACAAACAAATTAATATGATTGATTTGCAACAAAAAAAGTTCATATAGTAGTAGTTTTAACATCTAAATAAACAGGTGGTCCATGTTCTCCCCCTCAACAATTAGTCGGAGAAGAGGATGCAGTGTAGAGCCAAAGTCATCTTAATGATAATGTTATTGATTTTAATTTTTGTACATTGAGAATGTAAATTTTAATTTCAGATCACTTAAAAAAATTATAAATAATTTTTAATAATAAATAAAATTAGTAACCTGAAAAAGTAAGTTAAGTAGCCTAATATAACAAGTTAAATATGTTGATAGTATAAAATTTTACAATATCAATGGAAAAGTTTAGAAGTGGAGCATTGGAGCAATAATAAAGTTGTCTTTGCGTTATTAATTTATAGGTAGCCTCTATCTTTATTTTATTCCAGGGGCAGCTTTATAACTACAATCTAACTAATTAATATATATCGGTTCGAGCCGTGAAATTAGCCACTGACAATGGCGGAGCCAGAATTTTCACTAAGAGATGTCAAAATATAAAAAATTATATACACCAAAAGTCAAGGAGAGTCAACTATATTAAATATACATAAAACAAAATTTTTTATCTAGCAATGCAAAGTAATCTCTACCCCTTGGTTGACTGTGGCTCCGCCACTGGCCACTGATGTTCGCATCAGGATATGCTAGCTATATTACACCTGTTTGGAGTGCGATCTTTTCTCGAACCCTATGTGAACACCAAATATTTTATGCAGCTCTTTTATTTGCCCACTTTTGCTTTGGACAAGAACAAAAAATGTGTTTTAACAAAGGGAACAAAAGTCATCATTAGGGAAAGTCCAGTTAGAATTGCTGGGTTTAGTTTAGTGCTAAGTATGCGTTCAAAAGTACAGAATGTCCTGCATGTAATCGATTGCTTACTACAATGTCCTTCTATGGCTGCTCCTTCCTCATATGAAATGATTGTGACACTTCCTGAATTTAACTTTTTCCTTTTTTTCAATTATTTGACTTTTGATACCCCATTCTCAAAGAAAATTAATTTAATTTGTCTTTTTATAAGCTTTTAGCTTTTTCGTTCAAAATATTGACTCATTTATGCCAATCACTTTAAAGGCCTGAATTCAACATTTTTAGTCGAAAATGAAATTGTATAGTCGTTCTTAAAATACATTATATACAAAAATGTATGAATTTTTTATATAATTTTTCGACTATCGAATATAAATACCTAAAAGTGATCTTTGCCCAATATAATATGTGTCTAAATATAGTATCACTAAATATATTAATCTGTGTTGTATTACAACTGACTTTTTATCTCATACAATTATGATTCTGAGAGGTTGGTTTTAGCAATTTTACAACAATTGCCTTTCAGTCTCAAGCAAGTTGGCTAATTGATATATGGATAACTGATATTGGTAGCACAAATTTAAAGACTGAGCCAAAATTTGCCAACAAACTTGTTTAACCTTAAAATGGATAACACTTGAATTTATACGCGATTTTAAGGATATGTGGATTAATGTGATACAAGTGATTAGTAATATAAACACTGTTTTAAAAGGGGGCGTGTTACCTCTGACGAGGCGAGGCGTAAGCCCTGAGACATGGGGCGTAAGTCCCAGGGATCTTTAAATTTTACTAATTTCAAGAATTTAAAGATAGTATAAAATAAAAAAATATTTATAAAAATTACATTAAAATCACAAAATTATAAAAACTAATCTATTCAAAATACTTATAAATTATAATTCGACTATGAATAATACAAAAAGTATGACATATATCATAATATGCAAATTAGCTGCAACGTCGTTACAACTTAAACATCAAAAGTAATGTATTCGATACAAAATCTTATATGTATCTCTTGATGAGTAATGAATCTTGAAAGAATTTCGATATTATAATTTGATTTTTTTAAATACTCATTTTATTTAATATGCTTTCAATTTGAAAGAGAATTTATATAAAAATATAATTCACAATTTAAATATGATTCTCTAGCATCATTTATTTTTAAGTTTCAACAAGTTAAGAAAGTGATACATAATTCACCATACTATACCATGATAACTAATTATTTGTAAATAGTTGTGCTAGCTAATACTGAGCTATTAAATTAATAAGTATTGTATCTCGTAAACGTGAAAAAAAATAATTAGGAAAATAATTATAAAAAAATTATGGACTATCCCACAATAAAGACATAACAAAAGTTAATAAATAAATACTTTTTAAGTGAAAGAATTATTTAAAGTTTACTATCATAATAATTTTAATAGATAACGTGCAATAATTTTTATTTTAATTATGACATAAAATACTCTCAACTTAATGATTTATGATTAAGAAAAAAAAGTTTTTTTGAATAGTCAACGATTTATTAAGAAAATTTGAGGATTTACAAGGCTAGTTACAAAAATTACATAAAGTTCTATAAGGCGAGCCCAGTACGCTGGGCGTTGGGCGTGTCCGGGTGTAAGTCCCGATGGCCGAGGTGTAAGTCTCACGGATCTAAGACCCACATATAAGCTCAGGGGCGTTTTACGAGTGCTCCGCTCCGGGGCGAGCCCCGGGCGAGTCCAAAT